GTCAGCCCGGCAGAGCAGGGGCTCGTCGCCGGACTGGATAATGACACCGGCCGGAGCAAGGGCTCTACGACGGGAGATGTAACGACGTCAGCCCGGCAGAGCAGGGGCTCGTCGCCGGACTGGATAATGACATCGGCCGGAGCAAGGGCTCAACGACGGGCGATGCAACGACGTCACGACTTGAAGGTCTCGTGACTCCCCGAGATCGAGAAGTATTAGAGGAATGGTCGTACATATCCCGAAGGCTTGCAGCAGACCAACTTCTCTCAATCCTTCCCGTCTCGGTTTGGTTTTCACGAATTAGGTTCGGTATATATATTTTTTATTCATGCATATCTATGTATGCGTTTATTTATTTATTTATTATAAAAAATATATATATATATATATATATATATATATCTACATATATATATTACACTATTATTATTATTATTATTATTATTATTATTATTATTATTTATGCGTATGTGTGTGTATGTATACACACGTGTATATACATATATATATATATATGTATTTAAAATGAAATTTAGGGTAGGATTACCTTGGGCCGGTGTAGGGTGCAGGCTTAGGATTATTATCACTTGGAGAGATCGACTCCTCTTTCATCTTTATTCTTCAGGTCCCTGACGAGCTCCACGACTTCGAGATTTTTGCTGTATTCTCTGACATGATTCTATCTATTGTATCTATTACTACATTTTTATGGGCACGATGCTACCTCATTCTATCTGTCACAATTTATTCTGGGCCTAATTCTGTTACATTCTCTATGATAATTACATAAGCCTATAGGTCCAAATATTATTGAAATTAGCTTTTAAGGCCTAATCTTTACTTACCATACAACTCCACTGCTAGGCCCAATAGAAAGCCCAAATCTCTCTTAGGCGTCGCTTTTGATTAATAGGGTCGCGCAGCAAGATTATTTCAGATCGCCTAGATCTATCTCTACTTTTGCGGCGGTGGTCTTGAACATGCCGGTCTGATTACGGCCTGAGAATTGGGTCGCCTCGAATACTCCTTGGTTTCGTTTCGTCCTAGAACTGGGTTATGTGGTCGACCCAGTTTGCGATTTGGCTGTCCGGCCACTGTGAGTTCGAGCTCGGTATCGGAGTCTGAGGGCGGCATCCACGGCGTTTGCGGCGCGGTGAAGGCGGCTGTGTCGCCGAGTGGGATCGACGATAGCTGTAGCCCGACCTTAAAGCTAGACGGCGGTGGTGAGGTCGGCAATTGTCGACTATTGAGGTCGGGCCCCATCTGTGATTTAGGGATGACAAATTCGGGATGCAGTAGCAACACCGGCCGCGGTTGCTGAGGTCGACGGCTGCGGAGGGACTCCGGTGGTCGGCGTCGGTGGCGTGGTGATGGCTCGACATCCGTGGTGTGGTCGGCGATTTGGGCATGTCGGTCGTGGCTGAGGTCAGAGATGAAGGCGCGGTCGGCCCTTGCGGCTAGGTGGGGCTGGGCTGTGACATGGGTCGGCTCCGGCGACTGGAGGACCTCCTCTGCTGTGAGGTAAGCCCGACGTCTGATGTTTGCATCAGCCCGGCGCTCGATGTTTTAGGTGCAGTGGCGGCTTGAATTCCGGGGCCGGCGTCGGAGATTTCGAGTACGCTGCCGCTGGGATGGCTGGTCGTAGCGGCGAGGTAGACTCGTGAGGTCGGCTTGCAAGGTCGGCTCGTCGACCACGAGCCCGACGGCGAAGTCGGCTTGCTATGTTCAACGGTTGCGAGGTCGGGGAAGCTGAGGTTGGCACCTTCGATTCGGAGGCCCGGTTTACTATTTGGTAATTGGCCGTTTGAGGCGAGGAGCAGAATTCAGCCCGGCATCTGCGGTGTGTCTGGCCGGACTTCGACAGGGAGTTGTCTTTAGCCCGTCTATTGAGGTCGGAGACCCGGTTGCGGGGTTGTGCGAGCTCGGTACTTGCGGTTGTGGATTTGGGGACGGCGACGTCTGTCGATGTGAGATCAATGCTTCAATGGTGACGTAACCATGGGTAGCGGTGAGGTCGGCCATCGGCCATGGTCTGTGGTCGGTGCCGGCTACGTGTCCGTCCCGGGCTGAGGTCAAAGATTGGGGACGATCAGGGGTGGCGAGGTCGACTCGCAAGGTTTACCCGACGGTATGGTGTTTGTGGTTTAGTGCCGGCCTGAATTCTGAGGTCGGCACTGGGAAGTTTCGGGTCTGCTACCTCTGAGGCGGTCGTGATGATTGTTTTCATTTCGAAGATGAGCGGTGTGCCCGATATTTGATGTTCAATCCGTGTTTTGAGGTTGAAGACCCTGTTGTACTGTGCGAGCTCGGCACTTTGAAACGAGGACGGCCTCAGCTAGGCCGGCGCCTGAATTCGAGGATGACGATGCCGAGGTCAAATCTCGGCTGAGGTTGGGGGGTGACGGGGTCGTGTCGTGACAAGTCTGTCCGACAGCTGCGAATTGCTGGATCCAGGCTGTGACGTGAGGTCGGCTCCAGCGGCTTGAGGACGTTCTCGGTGGCGTGGTAAGCCCGGCGGTGGGGAGTTGGCCAGCCGTGCAATTGATTTCGTCTCGGGGTTTGGTTGTCATGGCGTTTGTGGTGCAGTGCCGGCCTGAAGTTCGACGTGGGGATGAGGAGTGCTGACGTTTTCCATGTGGCTCTTGCTCTTTTTTTTTGTTCTTTTTTTATTTATTATTAGATCTGGATGTGATGGGATGTGATGTGAACAGTGTTACACTGACAAAAAAAGTGTTAACACAATCGTGGCTTCAATATTGTCCAAGCAAGTGGTGTTTTTTGCTTATTTTTTAATTCAACAAGAAAGAAAAGGAAAAGAAAAGAGAAAAATGATTGAAAAAAGCTCAAAGCTGCGTGAATTTACAGCAAGGAGGACTTCAGATTTCTTATTTCCTCAACCAAAATACCACAGAAAGTAGAATCAAGATTAGAAAGAGGGAAATAAAAGGAAGAATTTTGTGTTGGTCTACTTGTTTCATGACTCAAATTCAAGGAGAAAATTCAGATTATCATGTAGTGATAATCTATGGCAAAAAAGGAACAAAAGGGTTGAGGATTCTTGTATTATTCTCATAAAAAAGGAACAAAAGGGTTGAGGATTCTTGTATTATTCTCTTTCGGCATGTTCATATGAACATTTTTGGATTTATTTTTCTCTGCCTCAAAAATAGGATACGAAGTACTGAAAGATTAAAATAAGAACACGAAGTTCATACCGAGCTTTGGGGGAATTCCGGTGGAAATGTAGCCATTTTCCGACAAAAGTTGACCCCGAGTAAATTACGGGGCCCTCCTTCTAGCGCCAAACTGTTGATGTCGAAAATCGGACGATCAACTATCAAATGCGAATCGAATTGTTGAATGAAAAATGAAGGACAAAATTGGTGGAAAATGATATTTCTTTATTATGGAAGAAGATGAAAAATGGAGAGAGACATCCAACCTCCCCTACTCTCTCTCTTTCTCTTGTATTGTGGGGAAGAAAAAATAAAATGAGGAGCCCATCCCTTTTCTTTCCTCTTTTTGACATATATATACATGGCCCCATTTTACAAGTGGGCTCATAAAATATGTAGCAAATGGTACATTATTTAATGTGATATGATTATCGTAAGACCCGCTTATGACTCTTGACGGTTCTAATTGGCGTCCGTCTTCTCGGCAATTGTCGCGTTTATCGAAAGCAGTTTCTTCGTGGTATGTGAGCCATCCAATTATTTTCTCTGTCCGCCTTGGCAGTGGGCGGACTCGACATCTAGGGATCCGTCTGGCTTTCAAGTGATCAGTATTGATAACTTGTTTGTATATTTATTTATCATGTATTTTCGGCTCCTCGGTTATCGGGCCGTATTTTATTATTTGATTTATCATTTATTTAATCGGAGCCAAATTAGGTATCAACAACAGTCTTTCCCGAGTTATAAGCTTGTCGAGCATAAGCTTTCATTTGTCGACGTGACTCAAAAGTTTTGCCGCTACTGTTATTAACTCGGTGAACGTTACGAAAACCAGGAGGATTAGAATAACCACTTCGTGGAATTACTTCAGTTTTAGCTGAAGACGAAGAATCATTCTCCTCCGAGTTCAACATGTATACTTCTTTTTCACCTTGTCTAATGCGTTTCGGATTAATTGGACGATCATCGTCTTCGTCGTCATCCGGGGGTTCTGGCATTCTGCCCTTTCGCTTATAATCTGCATTCTTAGAGAATCTTTGGACTTGTGGGTGTCCAATAAGCCACAGTAAGGCAGAGAGTAAACCCAAACATTCATCTGTATCATGTCCCGCCGACTTGTGATATGAGCAATACTTCGTTTTGTCAAGTTTTTCTTCTGGAGTCCTCACAGGTCGGGGGTCGGGAAGAATTCCCTTTCCTTTCAACTCCTCAAATATAACAGCAGCCCCAGCTGAGAAAACTGTCTGATAGCTGGATTTAACCTCATTAAGATATTTGGCTCTGGCTTCTTGCACCTCGGGTTTTTTAGAATTCCCGAACCGAGATCGGTTTGGTTTAAAGAACTTGTTCTTCTTCTTTTTTGACTCTTGTTCCACTTCCGACTTGTTTGGAGAAAAGTCAAAAGTAGGAACCGACATCGACTCTTCAGCTATAATGTGTTGTTGAGCTCGAGCCAAAAAATCTTGAAACGAAGTTGGTTTATTCCGATAGATACTCCAGCGAAATAAAGAATTTGGCTTTAGTCCGGCTATGGCCGTGACCAGCAACGTTTCAGGATGACATTGCTCCATATTTTGTACTCGTTCATTAAACCGAGTAATATAATCTTTAACGCTCTCGTTGTCCTTTTAAACGATATTGGCAATAGATTTCTTCGGGGTTAGAGATACTCGAGCCCCGATGAAATGAGATCGAAAAGCCATTCTTAATTGTTGCCATTTTGATATTGAACATCGGGGTAAAGAGTGGTACCATTTTTGAGAGCGAGGTCCCAAAGTTAAAGAAAACATTCGACATTTGAGTGCGTCGGTTGCCCCATGAAGATCCATCCACGAGGTGTATTGACCGAGATGTGCATCTGGATCTGAGGTACCATCATAAAGGCCAATCTGAGGGACTTTGACTTTGGAGGGGAGTGGTTCCATTGTCAAATGAGGAGCCAAGGGAGTTTCGGCTTCTGGATAGACACTTTCCGGGATAGAACCCCTTCGTTGAGATTCTTCAGGAACGCCTTGCCGAGTCTCCAACTTAGCAATTCTCTTCCTCAATATTTCCAACTCTTCTGACTCACGCCTTAAACGGTTCCTTTTAATAGTATGACGTAATTCATTGTTCTCACGTCGGAACCGATTTCGTTCAATCGTGCGACGTAAATCAGATTGTTGGTTGCGCTGTGAATTTACCGGTGAGAAAGACACCGGTTGTTGTTGACGACGCCCAGAGTGACTTTCAGTAGTAGTTTCTGGTCGAACTCCCTCTAGGGGACGATCGTCGACAGGAATCACACCACCATTATGAATGGTAATATTTCATTGTGAATCAGGTGTTCGTGGTTGAGAAGTTGCATGAGACGCATTAGGAATATTATGTTGTTGAACAGGCGACGTCTGCTGCCTAGTTGGAGGATTTGAAGCATGAGCTTGACTAAGCACCGTCATAGTTGGTCCTGTTCTTGTTTGTGCCATGAAATTTGATAGATTTCTGAGAAACTCTGGATCTTGGAAGAGAACAGAGTAGTCTATCGTCGGAGATGGCACATTTGTATTGCCAGTTGTATGAGCAGGATGACGGTTGGTTCCAGCTTCTGGATTTCGTTCTTGTCGCCCAGAACTTGGCATAATGATAATACGTATATGGAAGTATTATTTACACATGTATATCGTAGATCAAAAAAGTTGGCCAACGCAGCCCTCCTTCTAGCGCCAAACTCTTGTTGTATGAAATTAACAACTTAAATTTATAAACAGTTGGGTGTGTTTAAACAAAGATTAATATAAAGTTGGATTTTATTGATATGTTCACAAGAGTACAAGAAGTCGGTTTTTTGTTCTTGACCGAGATCATTTCAAGCCCATGTACAATGTGCGAAAAAGATTCGAAAAAGGATTTCCAAAAAAGATCCCCGTACAACCATAAATTCTTCTATTTATAGTTCGGTTGCTTTTGTCTTTTTGTCCGAGGTAGATAAGATCGCATTTAATATTGAGCAGCTTCAATTAAACGGTGTGTAGTGGAATGAGGAAACATCAATGATTGATGTTTGTTTTGATGGCCCAATCGAATGTGTACAGCTCCTTTTGCTTAAAAATTCGATCTTCTCGGATGTCGAATGAGTGGATAATCTTTTGTAGACATAATCATATTGGTGAAGTCGGGTATCCGCTTCTGATAGATGGTTTTACTTCGTTGATTATCTTGATGTCGGTTTGACCATCTAGAAGTCGGTGAACAACATATCTAACTGGTACCGACTTGAGCTAAGTTTAGCATTTCTGAGGAATTATTAATCGAATGAAACATTTAATATTTGGCTCTAACCTCATGAAACCAAGTCGGTTATCAACAGGTTCTAAATATCTGTATGGATAAATTGAAGAGGAGCAATCTAATGTTAGGTTGAATCTGAGAAAGTAAGCACATGAGCTTTTGCTTGCAAACAAGAACCACAAAGAAACTTCTCATTAATAGAATAAGGAACATT